TTTGTGCACATAAGCAAATGTCCTTAGACTAAAGGCCCCATGGTTGCAATTACTATGTTCAGTGTTATATGTATTTGGATGGCTTTTAGGTATGTTGCTGATCCACCCTATACAAAGCCTGGAATGATTTCTAATATGCTACCTATTAGGGTGCCTCTTCTTTCAAACCTGTTTCTACCCAGTGTTAAATTTTCAACAACTTTTTGTTAATATGATATGTTAATATGATATTCAAAACTGATGCTTTATTTTGTTTGATTACCAATGAATTTGAACATTCTAGAATATTAATTGCTCATTTATATTTATTAATTTGCATATTATCTGTTCACACATCCTTAACCCATTTTTATGGGAAGATACATTTTTGTTGGATTGTGTTATCTATTTTTACATTAAGGATATTAACATTGAAATAGCACGTCAAAAACATTTTTTAGAATTTATTGTTTGCTTCTCATTGTGTTTGTTGTTTCTGGTTTTAGAAAAGAACTACTAGAAATGTTTCTGCATTTTCTGATAATACAGCAGCAAATCATGTAATAGTAGAAAATGTTCTCATTTTGCAAAAAAATCATAGCGATAATGGATTTTATGCCTGAGAAAATCATACATGTAGCTCGTAACTACTTAGGATGAATAAATTTTACCGCTTTGAGTGTAAATTATTTTTCCTTATTCTTCAGCAATTTCTCTATTTCTGGAAGCTCTGTCTGATTACAGTTGAAGGCAATAAGCACTACAATAGAAATCCAATTTTCTGAATAGAAAGTTTCTACACTGTCAGTGAATTCCTTACATCAGACCTTTTCCAAAACTGTACATCTCAAGTTCAGAGTCCTCACTTATGTCTCTACAATGACCCATCAGACAGGAATAAACAGCCTCTTCCCTTTCAAGATAAAGAATCACATTCTCTTTACATCTGTTAACAGACTTTTTCAAAGGAAAAGAGTTACACTTCCAAAATTCTTTCTTTAATTCCATTAAGACAGTAAGAACAAAAAGACTCCAATTGACTATTATGTCTTAGTTTTCCAAGATGAAAAAGAAAAATAAAGAGACTGAGTGGAAGTGGACAGCATAACCCCACCCTGCCCCCAGTATATGGAGTTAAGGCACTGTCATAGGGCATACCCTAGCCTTATGTCACAGCCTCTGCAGAGGCCTTAAAGTCATCACCTGGTCATTTAGGAGGACTTCACATTCCATTTTAAATCCCGTTAAGAATCACAGTTCAGGCATTTTACTCATTTGGTCATTGTCAACCCAATTACATCTATCACTACTATGTTAATTAAATCAAGATTGCAATTAAATTATTTCCTAAGAGCTATTATCACTATCCACGTTGAGACAGATCATTAGGGCACCCCCCAAGTAGTCAAGTAACAATACATATAGACATGAGCCCAATCAACAATTTAATATTTGTGTTGCTCTTACACAGCTCATATGACACATATCATATATATTACATATGTATACATATACATTCATACATACATGTGGCTTACAATCACCTATGAATAAATTTTACCACTTTGAGTATAAGTTGTTTTTCTTATTCTTCAGCAATTTCTCTGTATCTAGAAGCTCATATGTAATATATGATGTACATGAACATGGTATGTATGTAGTTCATTCCTTAATCAATGTGTTCCACATGCTGAACTCATCTCTAACACTGGAAGTTGACGGACACACTCTGGGCTGGTTTTTGCAGCTTTGGGGATGCATACCCTAAAATAGGAACACTGTAATAAACCAGCATCCAGGAGCTACTATAGCCACCAAAATCTTTTCCGTGACCACCACATTCAGGTAATTCTCCCTTCCATGATCTACCATGGGCTCTCCTTCTTCTGACTTTATCATATCAACAGAAAGTCTTTTTTTGGAAAAAAAAATCCACTGGAATGAGAACTAGATGCACTCAATCACGCATTCATTGTAGGATATAAAAATACAACACACCTGTGTGGTTCTGAATCTACTCCTTTCTCACTGCACAGTATGTGAAGCATTTAGCTAGTGTGAGCTAGTGTGTCTAGCAGTCCTGGAGTAAAAATGGGACAGAAGATGAATATAAAGAAAAAGCAGAAAACCAGGATCTCAAACATTTGATGCTTTCTGGTTGATCAGGCAAGACCTGTTGGGGGTCTTCTAGTTTAGAAAGAATTACTACAGCTTTACCCTCCTTTTATACCCACCTACTTGTCTCCACTTCCCAGTGATCCCAAGAAAAGCAAATGCAACAATGATAAGACCAGCTAGGATCTCTCTTCACTATCTGGGGCTGTGAACCCAAGTGGCTCAGTGGAATCTGACCCGCAGGTCTGGAGCAGGCCTGGGGAATCAGTCCCAGCATGCTGTCTCCTCCCCTGACTCTTCACCCACATAACATCTCTTCATCCCTGTCCCTGCATCTGGAAGCCTTCCCTGACCCCTAAGCTGGGCTGGGTGCCCCCTGTATTTGGCTGCTGAAATATGCTCCTCTTCTTAAAAATATTCAGCACACTTCTCATATTTGTTTAATATCTTCTTCCATACTACGTGATAAACCTGAGAGGGTGGTTCAAGACATCTGTCCTATCCGTTTCCATCTTCCTAATTCGTAAACAGTGACAGGCACATAATACACTCTCAATAAATATTTGATGGAGGATTAGCAAACTCACAGATATAAAGTGCTCAGTTTAATTTTGGCATATGGCGGCTCTCATACTTGTGCTGGGAATCTTCATGCAGATCTGTGCAGTCCTAAAACCTAAACATGCTGGGCTTCATGGGGAAGGCATGTCTAATGCCCACAGACCTCAGAACAGCATTCTGCAGGCTCCTCAGCCTGATGGAGCTGGGTCTTCCTGGAAAGACAGAACACCTTCCAGATCAGAGGAGACGCGAGTCAGAGGCTGTGTTTCTGCCGTTGCCACAGGCTGCCTGCCCTCTTCCTCCCGCCGCCTCGTGGTATTCTGAAGCTTTATTCTTAAAGGTCTCATTACTACAGCTGTTAGGCCAAATTATAGCATTCTATTTTTAGTTGTTTTTCAGAAGTATAGCATGGCCTGAGAGTGACTAAGTGCTGTCATAATGAGCCGCCGTGTTTTCAAGCCCTGCAGTTATATCTGGGTGGGCTCCCCCAGCTGAGGCTGACTTCTCTCTCTTCATTACATTTGTGTTTGCCTTCAAACCAAACAAGAATGTAGCCTTGACCGGACCAGAAATTATGGGGCTTCTCAGAAGTATTCTCATGCCCCAATCCCTAGTTTGTTTCTAGAAGGGGTAAAGCTGACCTGTGCTTTATTTTTAAAAATGTCCTAGTGACTCTACAGGAAATACCTGTGAAACCACTAAGTGAGGCTTTGTATTCTTGGACTTTTAACTAAGAATTGAGTTTAATTCAAACTTACCCTGAATGCCTCCCCCAGGGCCTGGCTAGTTTATCCCTTATTCTTTAGGAAATGGGGTGGGGGTCTCTGAGCTCTTTGAGCAGGTGGTGGGATGACCACCTAGCCCCAGGAAGGTAAGTTCAGCAACAGTGGAGAGAGACAAGGGGGAATGGAGAAAGACAGCCACCCAGAGGGCACACATGGGCTCCAGGGAAGGGGTCCCCAGGGCCAGGACCCTCAAAGGATGGCAAGGAGGGTGGATGGAGACCCAGACCAGAGGCATGGCGGTGAGGACCGGGAGGGAGATGTGAGCTTCAGGAACTGCAGTGTGCAGCCACATCACTGTGCAACATGATGGGTGTGAGGAATGGGAAACGGGTCTGACCTTGAGTGTCTGAGAACTGAGCAGGTCGTGTCATCACTAAGCATGAGGAACGTGGCAAAAAGAGGATGTCCACAGAGGAACATGCATCTTTAGAACACGCTGATTTGAGGTGCTGGGAAATCGAGGCTGTTGGAAACGTGGGCTGGAGTTCGAGAACGATGCCTGCACTTTCCCACAGGTGTATTGACCAAAGCCTCAACCTGTTAACAGTCTAAGTTTTTTGTCCTTCCATAAATGACATGTGCTTTAAGATCACAGTCAATCCTTTTTATTAGAAGGTAGAACATCTTAAGAATAAGAGCCTTTGACTTCTTGGAGTAGCCCGGGGGCACCATGCTTTATGAATCCTCACCTCTGACCTTTTATACCAGGTGCTTTGTATGACTCTTCTGTTTAAATCATTTTAATCTAGTCATCCAAGAAAGCAAATAGGAAACTGGAGGAAATGGAGGAAACTGGGACCAAGAAAGTCTCAGCGAGCGGGCTGAGTACACACAGCCAGCCCCAGGGACCTGGTGGTGCAACTCAAGCCTCTGGTGCAAGGCCACCTATGCCTCTCAGTCTCTCTGCTGTACAGTTACTTCACACTCAGAATTCTTCAAAACCACTTTGCTCTCTTTTAACTCATTACTGTTGTTGTTGTTTTTTGTTTTGTTTTGTTTTCCTAACTGAACACTTAAGATTTTTGCTCTCCTTCCCGACTTTCTGGAGCCTGTCTATAGACCGTTACGTTCACTTCTACCAGGAATGTTCTTGGTGTCGGAAGCCAGTCTCTACTTTCTCCACGCATGTGCCCCACCCAGCCCTCCTTCCCCAGTAAAGGTTTGTTCTGTGGTAATGGCTTTAGGAAGAGCTTGGGTTATTAGCTGGAAGAGACCATTGTATAAAACATCTCTGTTGTCAACGCACACAGTGTCTTTTAATCCAGTGACACTAAGTGGTCTTCTCACAGCTTCTCTATGCCCTCCCAGTATCTTTCCCAAAAGGAGAATGAGCTGCATTCTTAGGGTTGATAGGAACCAACGCAAGCTGGGACACTAAGGAGCAATCAAACCCGATGCTATCACAACTTTGGGGCTGCCGTGCACCTCCAGTTGTATAATAAAGACCCATCTGGGGTCCCCATAGAACGTGGTCTAATTCAACGCGTCCATGAGGCAGCTTCACTCAACACTAGAATTCATGTTCCGTGTTTCCTACTTGTTCTTTTTCCTACCATCCAGATGCCTTGAACCTCAGAAACCGGCAGGTCATCTGTGTCACGCTCAAAGTCCTCCAGCATCTGGTTGTGTCAGCAGAGATGGTGGGCGAGGCTTTGGTGCCCTACTACCGTCAGATCCTCCCCATCCTGAACATCTTTAAGAACATGAATGGTGAGTTATCCCACAGGTCAAAATGTCCTGTAAGCCTTGAGGAAAGGGGAGGGGTTCAAAGCAGAGCTCACGAGCCACACATTTAGGATTTACCTAGGGACAATGATCTATCTGTTCAGAGATGTAAATCTATCTGTTCAGAGATGTAAATAGCGTAATCCCGCGGCCTCCTGCTCCCTAAGGAAATGGCAGTTGCCAATGTCACTTGCTACTCCTCGAACACACAGCAGCAAGGCTCTTCTGTGAGTGTTCAATAATTAAATTGTAAAGTTTATAAAATAGTTTTTGAATCTATTAATAGGCTTTGAGTCTGTTGCTTTTCTTAATATTTAATAGTAATTCCTCCTTTAGATGCTTCCTATTAAGCTTTCAGTAGTAAGTTTTGTTGTTGTTTTTTTTTTAAATCAATTTAGGATGAATTTTTTTAAAACATTGCTAAAATATGGTAGTGGGCTTGGAGCATTCAATAAATGTTCTTCTATTTTTAAAAACAATATAGAAAAATGATTTTTCTTATTTTGTTTTACTAATTATTTAATAATTTGTCATTAATAATTTGTAGTTACTTAGTGGATATGAGTGCTGGTTAAGACATATACATAGATCCATTTTTAAAATATGACACTCTGAGCTTTGTGAGTACCTCTGAGCTCAGATAGGTCTGCTTTATCCTATAACGATATCAACAAGTTTTGGTGATCTCTTGACAGGCAGCAAATGTCAATCTGTTCGTTGACAGTGTGATCCTCCTGAAACAATGTGAATCTAATTTTCTTTTCTGCTGCTCACTTAGAAGTTATGAATTTAACTTCTAAGTACATAAGTCAGCATGCAGAGTTTATTCCTGACAGTCATGGGAATAAGTTGGTAATTTAGTGGATAAGTGCATGAGAATTTTGCAACATGATCTGCTCATTGTACATACAAGGAAATAAATAAAATAAAAGCAGAGGGGAGGCAGCTCTCCCACAAACAAAACAAACAAAAATAACCTTTATTTGGAACCACTGTGTTTTATATTATTATGAAATTGGCTTGGAGCATAGACTATTCAGGGAATCATGGAATTCTCAGAAATTCTATTTAGCTGTCTTTTAATAGTGGGACTATTGAAATATCATTTACTATTATACTAGTAAAAAGGACTTCAGTGGGATCTTGAAGTTCAAAATTGTGTATAGGAGTGAATTGGCATCCATCCCCTATTATCTGAAAAGCTTTGGTCAAGTAGGAATTGGGGCAAGATGGCTACTCTTTGAGAAAAGTAAAAACTGAGCTTTAGTCATGGAGTCTCTTACTGTCCAAGCTCAACACTTTTGTCATAGCATTCCTACTTTATGGAAAATACATATCCTGTTATTACATATTCTTAACTTGCAATTCTCATTTTTACTGGAACAGCCGCACGCAGTATCCATGAGGTTACAGAGTGACTCCACCTGCCCAGGGTCAGTTGTGTTCAGCTATCACTAAAGATGGCATAGAGAGGAGATGAGAGAAAGGATGGAGTTATTAAAGAATTAGAAAAATCAGGGCACAGCCACCCCTAAAAGTCTTAGTTGATATTTTTGAATTGTGTGATTCACAGCTTTTCCTCAATAATCCTCACAGAAATATATAATATATGTATTGCTACTGTTTCCGTTGTTTTGTTGTAAAACTTCCTCTCTAGCTTTTCTCCAGTGTGAACTTTGTCTCGTGCCATGGTCTGGATATGGAGTGTCCCCTGAAGTCTCATGTGTTAAAGGTTGGGTCCCCAGTGCGCCAGTTCACAGGTGGGACTGTGGGGAAGTGCCTGGGTGGTGAGGGCTCTGACTTCATTGAAGGATTCATCCATTGATAATTGAATTGACTGGTGGGAAGTGATGGAAACTGTAGGCGGTGGGGCATAGTTGCAGGAAGAAGGTCCCTGGGGTATGCCCTTGGGGACTACATCTGCCTCTGTCCCTCACTTCCCCCACCCCATGTCTCTTTCTCTCCGTGGCGACCATGAGCTGAACAGCCTTCTTCCACCATGCCCTTCTGCCGTGAGGTACTGCCTCATCTCAGGCCCCAAACAACCTACCCAGGCAAACAGGGACTGACTGGGCTCTGAAACCATGAGCCACAATGAATCTTTCTTCCTTTAAGTTGTTCATGCAGGTATTTTGGTCACATTGACAGAAAGCTGGCTAGTGTGCCCCTGCTCCTGACCATCGTGGGAGAGGAGCCTCTGCACATCTCTCCTCCCTTGCTTAGGTGTGTGGGGTGGGTGGCCACGACAGCAGGGTGTCGGTGCTCTTGCTCCACAGTGAAACCTGGAACTAGAATCTAGGCCTCATTGGGCATCCTTGTATAAAAGAAGAAAATACATAGAGTGATGCTCAAAAGACAATGAGAATCTCCCCACATCCTCCAGGAAATCCACAAGGCAGGATTATCACACCTCCCACAGAGACAGACACCCTGGCTGAGAGCTCTCCACTGTCAAACAAAGCTATTGGTTCCTACTGCTTCTCATTAGAGTTGTTCTTTGACTCTGTCACTCACAAATGTTCATATGCTTAACAAAGGAAGTGGTTGGTTTCAGAAATACACCCTTGAGAGTTTATCACGGTGGGGAATTTGCAGTTTATACCAGTCCTTTGCTGGTGTCAACACAGCCATCTTCTGGAACATTTCTCAATGTCTGCATCAGGGTTTCTACATTCAAGCCATTTTCTTGCCTGATATTTTCCTGATATTTGAGGGGGGGTGACATTAGCTTCAGCTTCATTTTCTCCTCCTCTAACAAACCTGTCACTACAAAGCCACGATGTGGTTTTCTATATTTTCAGAGGGTCCTATTACAAAATTGGAATATTTTAGCTGGAAAAACTTAAAGCACTTCTTCAAAGTGGTTCTCTCATCCTAGATCCAGTTCTGCCAGAAGCAGCTTATCACAAGATTTCCAATTACAATTACAGTAGTATTTTTACTAGAAAAAAATGATTTAGCTTTAACAGTATTTTAATAAGTCCTGCTTCATGATTATAGATATGTTGTCCATATTCACAGAACCATAATACTTACTTTATTTAAGCAGATGTCTTTACTGGAATATATAAGTATTTACAATTAAATCTATATTAGGTATTTACAGTATGTATGTAGCATTAGATAAGCTTACCCTAATTTCCCATGTATGTGAGAATGATTTCACACATTTCTTTCTCCTCTTTCTCTACTTGTCTTTTATGTAAATCAATATCTTGTTAAACTCAGATTCAAATGTATTTCTTTTAAGTCTTGCCACAAAATCCTTTTTGGAATGAGAGCATATATAAATGACAGAAAGAAAGAATGAGAGAAGATTTCCTTTCCAATATAGTGACGCTGCCCTTGTGTGTGTCCCCTGAGGTGCAAACTCCAGCCTAGCTTTTCTGTCTGGCCTGTTGTGATGTTGAATGAGCTTTCTCTGAGGAGTCAGGGAACTGGGCACCCCTCTTGCAGGTGCTCACAGTGAGGAGAGCCACTCTGTAATCTGGCCCGGGGGCCATCAAGGATAAAGTTGGGCAGGGGGACGGCTAGTGCTTGGAGCATCAGTTCATGCTCCATCTATACTGTTGAAGGCATTAAAACTTACGCCCAGCCCCAAAAGATTATCTCTGCTCCAGCAAAGGGGGTGGCTTCATATTTTTATTTGCAAGTAGCATTTTTACAAACTATAATTAAGCTATGGTTAAAACTACAACAGCTGATAAGTCTAAGATGTGACTTGTACTGAGACATACAGAGAACACTGTGGAACCAGGAGAGATGCCATGTGACCTTTAGCAAATTGCTAATTTCTCTGATCTTCAATTTTTCTCATTTATATAAAATGTGTACAATAATATTTTATGAGGTTTGGCATGAAAATTAGAAACAATGAATCCATGCCCCTTCACATGGAGCCTGACCTTGACTGGGTTAAATAAGATAGCCACTATTATTTATATATATATATAAATAAAATAACATATGTAATAGTATGCAAATATGTTACATGACCTGATTTAAAACATAATAATGGTATGTCAGATATACATAGCAGTATAATTAGATGGTTCACAGTGTGGTTGGGGCTAGGGCACTGCACCTTGGTCCTTCCATAACCTGTGAACGAGGTGTGGCCTCCTGGGCTCACCAGCTCCATCAGTCACTTTTCTGGGAAGGACTCATCATGCTGGTGACTACAAATGTCAGGTGAATGGCCAGATAAGTTAAAGAACTCATTCAAGGATAAATGCTTTTCAAATCCATTCTTACCTGGTGTTATCCAAAAGCTCGGACCTGTGACTGGTGGTTGTGGAATTCCATATTTGAAAATGAGAAGGCTGCCTGGGACAGATGGAGCAAGCCAGACAAAGGTCCTCTTTGGAAGATCCAAACTGATATCTAAGCCCTAGAGCTTATTTCCCTGAATTTAAACAATGGATTTCCGATGGATGTCTAAAACATGCTGGCTTTGTAATGAATGCTTTGGGGTGGGAGAGAGAGTGGAAGCTCTGGGGAACATTTCTAGAATGCATTTGTAATACAGTCGATGGCAATTTCATCTTTCCCATGCTCTTGCACAAATGTTATTAAAGGTTACAGAAAATTAAGACAATAGGAATGCTCGATTTATAGCTTTCAGAGATGAAACTACAAAATTAATGATGCGGTATACTACATTTGAGGAATATGAGCCAATAAACGCCATTAAAATATTTACAGCTAAAATGCAGGCTGTGCCAGTGGAGCAGGGCTATCCAGTGACCTTATTTGGTGTTCTTTGTTTCTAATTGCACCAGTAGCACCTGAAACAGTTCAGACTCCAGGTATCAGAGACTCTTGATAATATCAGAAATTATGTCGTAAGTATGCAAAAAAAAAGCCAATTCAACAATTAAATTTCCATGCTCCTAGAAATCAGTCTCAGGATCAGCCAACCACTATTGACTAATAAAAGCCCGTTAAAAGATACTTCAAATCTTTAGTTCAAATTTAGGTACAAT